CACCCCACCCCTACTCTGGGCCCCCCCTGCTCTTACCCGCTGGTAGTTCTGCTCCTTTTGAATCTGCTCGACCTGGTCAAGTAGCTGGCGGGCGCGGAGCTGCAACTCCGTTAGCTTGTCCTTAGCAGCGATCTCAGGGTAGTTGTTGGTGTGTTCCCCTACCTGGATGTCCAGGTGCACTCGCTGCAGGGGGGAGAGAGCCAGGGGGTTAAGGAGGTGGGGGGACAGCCAATGAGCCAGTCACAGCCACCCCCAGGGCCCATCTGTCTAGCCACGAGCCAAGGGGGAGCTAATACATAGCCCAGATGACTCCGTTTCTGTGAGGGAAACAGAGACACAGAAGGGGCTGGCAGACTGGCCCTGGGGAGTGAACCCAGGAGTCCTAACAGGCTGCCCCCTCCAGAGATGAATTGCTCCATTCCCAAAGCTAAGAACTCAACCAGGCATCTGGGCTCTGATACCCCACCAGTTAGGGAGAGAACCCAGGAGTTCAGCCCCTCAGCCCTACACGCTCTAACAGCTAGGGTCCCATCCCCCTGTTCTAACCACAGACCCCTAACCTAGCGACAGAAAAAAGCCCAGGAGTCCAGGCTCCCAGGATCCACCCTGCTCAGCCCAGGTAGAACCCAGCTGTCCGGGTTCCAAGCCCCACCACCCCTCAGGGAGTTACCAGCTTGCCACCGGCAAAGAGCGCCATGCGGGTGGAGTTGGAGTGGAGGCAGATCTGGTGCTCGCCAGGTGTGTGTGAGGTGAAGGTAAAGCGACCCTCAGAGCCATACTGCCGGGACAACACCACCTGTGGGGACCAAGCTGTGAGATCCCAAGCACAGATGCAACCCAGGCATCTGGGCTCCCAGGTCACCATTCCCAGTGGGAAAGAACCCAGGCATCCCCCAAAAACCAGGACAGAGCCCAGGCATCTGCCAGGCTCCCATGTCTCCCTTCCTGCCAGGCCAGCGCCCAGGTGCCTCAGCACCCCCAGCCAGATCTGACAGAGCCCAGGCGTCCGGGCCAGCCCTGCCCCTCACCTTGCCATCGGGGTCCTTCACCTCCACGTGCATGCCCAGCCCCGGTGTGGAGGGCAGGAAGGACTCGCTCTGCTTGTCCCACAACTGTGTGCGGTAGTTCCCTGTGGGGTTGAAGGGGGGTCAGGCTGGGGCCCCTACCCCACCCTCACTACCCTCATGACTCCTTACCCCTACTTCTCACCTCGCCTCCACTCCCCAGTCTCTTCCATCATTTTGTGGCCCACACCACCTCCACTCCACCTGTTGGTTTCTCTCACCACCCCCACTTCCGGGGGCCCCCTGCCCCCACCTGTCTGTCACCTAGCCCCAGTGTCAGTTGGTGTCTTTCACCCCCCACCCAGGGCCAAGTTGGTCTCTTCTTGCCCCCCACCCACCCCGGTTACCATGCTAGCGCCCACGCCGCGGCCTCACTTGGTTTCACCCCCACAACGTCATCACCATGGTACCGGCCATGACTTTCCCCCGCCCCTCACCGATCACCATGGTCTCGTCCGGAATCTCCTCGATGAAGCAGCGCTTCTCGGTCTCCCCGATGTGGAAATAGAGCGCATGCGTGCCAGTCCCCGCCAGCAGCACCGCACCGGCCAGCACCCATAGCGTGCCGAGCCCCCCGCCGCCGCCCGCCATGGTCGTACCCGCTGCTTGACGCTTACTGCGCATGCGCCTCAGTGGCCAGACGGGAACAGACCGCAATGCGCATGCGTTGCTACTTGACACTGGAAGAGCTGCGCATGCGCTTCCACGGCCCGCTAGGGGGGACAGGCGGCAAGGCGCATGCGCTGCTGCTTGTTGCTGGGCGAGCTGCGCACGCCCTGGCCGGGTGCCGTAATGGCGCGTGCGCGTTAGCCGGCAGCCAGTCAGGTAGCCCCACGCCAGGGCTGAGGGGACGGCGCTGGGCGCCATCTCGGGCGCGGCGGGAGGCGCGGCGATGAGCGACAAGAAGTCCAAGAAGGCGAAGTATATCTCGGCGCAGGACCGCGTGCGACAGTTCCCCGCGGGCACGCTGCACGCGCACGGCGGTTTCCTCTTCTGCTCCGCCTGCAACGTGACGCTGGACGTGCAGCGCAAGAACAGCATCGACCGGCACCTGGAGTCCGAGCTGCACGCCCGGCGCCGCGCCGCCGACGCCCAGGCCGAGGCAGAGGCCGAGGCACGGGGCAAGAAGCAGGCGACGGCGGCGCTGGTGCT